TAAAACTACATAAACTCCTCAAAATCCTTTCAGAAAAACACCCTAACACTTTTTCATCCGACCCACATCAAATTACACAATCAAATAATGAAGAGAACATCTATGAAATTTCAAAAACCCTTAAAATAATGCCACCTGGTAGACCCATAATATCAGGCATTGGTACCCTCACAGAACTTATATTTGGGTACATAGACAATATCCTAAAACCTTTATTGCCTGACATACCCAGTTATATTAGAGACACTACTGACTTTCTCAACAAATTACAAAACATTAACTTAGTCCACCATGATACAATCCTAGTAACGATGGATGTTTCGTCCCTTTACACGAACATTCCACATGTTGAAGGAGTATCAGCTTGCTATGAGTTCCTTAGTAACAAAAAATTACCTAACTACCAAATTACAGATATATGCCAATTAATAAATTTCATCTTAACACATAATAATTTTAAATTCAACAACAAACACTATTTACAGATTAGTGGCACAGCAATGGGCACAAAAATGGCACCTAGTTATGCTAATATCTTTATGCACATTCTAGAAAAGAAGATACTAGACAAATCAGAATATAAACCATCACATTACTTTAGATATATTGATGACATTTTCTTACTATGGACTCATGGATCAGAAAAATTAAAACCTTTTTCACTTTCTGCAAAAATTTCCACGATACAATTAAATTTACCATGGAGCACTCATACACATCCATCCCTTTCTTAGACGTTATGATAAAATTAAACAAACATACACTTTCTACCAGTCTATACAACAAACCCACAAACCAACATAAATTCCTGCACTTTAACAGCTGTCATCCCTTTAAATTAAAAAAATCTATTGTATATAGCTCATTTCTAAGAATCAAACGCATATGCTCAGACCATTTAGATTTTCTATACAACATTAATAACTTAACAAAACAATTCCTAATATGCAAATACCCAATAAAAATAATAAAAGAAGCACTAAACAAAACTATCCTGATAAATCGTAACACACTTCTCACATCCAAGAAAAATAAAAACAACAATCGGATTCCCATGGTTTTTAACCACAATCAATATTCGCACACACTTATTCACAAATTAAAAAATGATTACAAGAACCTCCAATTAGACAACAAGATCAAAGACATTTTCGATAAACCACCCATAAATGCAATGAAACAATCACCTAACTTATCAGCTATCCTCACCTCTACCAAATATCTAAACAATAGAAACCAAACAGGAAATTACAAATGTAACAAACCTCGTTGCTTAGTTTGCAAACATTTAATAATAGCTAATACATTTTCAGTACCCAACACAAATATCAGGATACAGCCACCTAACCTCACCTGCGATACCCATAACGTAATCTATTATTTATTCTGCAACTTATGTCCTAATAGTGGATATATTGGTAAGTCTGGAAACAATTTTAGATTTCGTTTTAATAACCATAAACAAACAATACGTCAAAACAACCCTTATTCCCCCATAGCTAAACACTCCAATCAATCAGGTCACACATTAGAAAACTGCAAATGTTTATTAATAGATTCCGATTTTACTTCAACATTCACACGCAGAAAAAAAGAAACATATTGGATTTTAAAATTAAATACACATAAACTAGGGTTGAATAGGGACTTAGGTGTTTTAAATCTTTATAAATATTTCAAGAGTTAAGCAATTTTTTTTTTTTTTTAGATATAGTAAAAAATTGTTTTAAATATTTATGACAGTTAGATTTAAGTTAGGAATATCCAAACAGTGACGTTGCATATCACGTGACGTCCGCGTCTCGCGAAGGACGCTACTTGCTAACAAACAGTAATTTTAATTTATTTGTAACAAACAGTTATTTCTGATGAAAAATTGAGGACAATTTGAAATATCAAATATATATATAAATAAATAAATACTTTCATAAAATAAAACATTATAATTTTCAATTTGAAAATTTTTCTATATATACATATTAAGAAAGTATACGTGGCTTCTCATTATGTATATATATATATATATATATATATATATATATATATATATTGGAATCGAATACATACCACACACACAAACACACACACACATTCGACGTATGAGGGTCAAGCAACTCAATTCCTAGGAACCGACAACCAGACACCTGCACATATGATTTGTTTATCGTGGTGAAGGCTTTGTGCAGAACTACCCACAATTTTTGAGGGTTGAATACACAGACTCGATGTACTACGTGTCACAAGATCCCCCAAACTACCCTCCGAAGCTTTTGAATTCAGAGTTGTCCTTCTTCCTAGACTAGTTACCATCCAAGGCTATAGAACCAAATCTGTCCTTCTATTTATCCATAGCTGAAGAAGAGGATTCATACTTTTCCCAAGAGTATTAGCACGGAAGTGAATGTAATGGATTCGACTGAAATTCGAACTCGGCTCTCCGATTCCTTAACCCAAGTCGATATCCATTGCCTTCTATATATATATATATATATATATATATATATATATATATATATATATATATATATTGATTTAAAATATGTTTTTTTTGCTACAGTTCTAACCATGTTTCAAAAATGGAAGTATATATAGTATACCTTAAATAAAAATATATATATATATAGTATACCTTAATTTAAATATATACATATAATATATATACATATAATATATATATAATATAAATATAAATATATATTATATAAATATATATATTATATAAATATATATATTATATATATATAAATATATATATATAATATATATATATATATAGTATACCTTAAATTAAATATATATATATATATATATATATATATATATATATATAGTATATCTTAAATTAAGTATATATAGTATATATATATATATATATATATATATATATATATATATATAAGGTATATTTTAGTGAAAAAAAAGTGAACACTGTCAGGGACAGAGCTTATGTAAATACATTGTGTATTGATGATAAGGCCTCGGTGGGTGGAGGGCTTCCTAAACAAAATTCAACATTCATCACAGTGGGTTCCCCGATGGAATCAAGGGTCACATGGACAATGATGAGCTTGCAAGTTGAAGGACATCGGCTGTAGTTTAACCGGAGGAGGGATGAGCTGTGACGGATCTACTTGCCCTGGAGTCACATTGTGCAGGAATGATTACCGCCCCGGCTTTCTACCTGGATATCTAAGAGGAACTTGTCAAAAGCACAGCTTCATAGCACAGCACCGCTATGATCACACTCGCACATCGGATTGATGATGATGATGCTGATGATGATGATGAAGGGCTTTATCAGTCACTGAAAAATAATGAACGGTTGATGATGAATTTACAAATTAATTCATATTTATCAACAAATACACACGTGTCTTTGAAATGAGAAATGTGTTTATGTCTTATGAGATTTTAGAGTTTAATTTTCAGAAGGAATTTTCTCCAAAAAATAAATAGATAAAAATAAAATAAATCAAATAAAAAGAAAGAAAGAAAGAAAGAGATTGGTAACGTAATCAGTGAATCAGTTTCCTTGACTTAAATATGCGAACATGTGTGGAGAAAAAAAAAATTGGTTAGTGCCAAATAACAGATCTATTCACAGACACCCAAACAGAAATGGCTAGGATTTTTTTTTTTACACTTTTAGAGACTGCTTTAGCAATTCCAGCATCGAGTTATCAGCGTCTAAATGAAGATCGTCTTCCTTTTGATGAGCATGTCTTTTGGCGCCAGGCCATCAGCCGAAGACAAACAGATGTGCGAAATTCTTCCAGACTTTTCTTTTACCTCAACTCTGAATGCATTCCAAATTCTTTGTTTGTTGTCCAATGATTATGCATGTTGACGTCTGTGTATACATACATACATTCACACACACACACACATACTCACACACATATTTGAGAGCTGTTATTCTTATTTCTAATTATATATATATATATATATATATATATATATATATATATAAATAATATGATATATAATTAAAATATAATAATAATAATAATATTATATTATATACTAGCCGAGGTACCCGGCATTGCCCGGGTGTACATGGCTGCAATTGTATAAACGCACTCCATGTACACTCGCATCCCATGTCTAGAAATGTATCCCTGCGTCCCCGCTTTCATCCATCATCCGTTGGTATACTAAGCTACTTTCCTTTATCTTTTTTAAAGTATGACCTTCCCCAGTGTTTGATTGTTCTTCATAAAGGAATTCCATCGATAAAACCATCTTGCATGGTCGTTGCTTGCGGTTAAATTCTTTCAATGTTTTAGATATTCAGTAAATTTCCTATGGACGTAATAATTTTCAAATAGTATGGCATTGTTCCCGAATCTTATAAAGAAACAAAAACAGAGATGAAGCGTCAGAGCTTAATCCCACTCTAAGTTAAAACGCATGAACGTCCCCTCCTTCTTCGTACGTTTACTTTAAAGTTGGGGTTAATAAGAGGTTCTTCGGGAATTTTTCCCTTTTAATGTTTCAATAATTCTTCTCAAACAAGCTGTTCGAATGCCAATTTAGGATGGAATCATATGAAGAAACTATTTGCTAAATGGAAAAAGCCGATTTTAGACCCGCAGTTTCGTCCATTTAATTGAAATAATCTAAACCAAACATTCACGCAATGCAATTTGTCTGTCATATGTAATTTACATGGCAAATTTGGAAAGCATCATGTATCGCACCCGGCCGGAAGTTACCATCTACTCAAACATCTAAAAGCGTCACCGTTAACGAATGCCGTTAACTTCCGGTACTAAGCGTTTTTCAGTCAACGTCTCACACAAACTAAGAAAAAACGAAACATTTACATATACTATTTCCTAACCAAAAACAATTACCAAAACGGTGTCCGAATGGAATCCATGTGTACAAAAAAAGTAGGTAATTTTCAGTCATCACCCCAAATATATCGCATTTGTCAGCCTATATATACACAAAATTAATCTTCTCGGCTGATTTTTGGCCTCGGGGTTGAGCGACAGGCTCCCCCTCTCACCTACGCTGACCAACGAAGCAGCAGCAGCCAAGGCCAGCAGACATCAGCAGCAGCTAGAAACCAACAGAGCAGTCCGGCCTCCTCCTCATCAGCAGCAGCAGCAGCTAGAACAGAGCAGTCCGGCCTCCTCCTCATCAACAGCAGCAGAGCCAGCAGATATCCCAGCCTATCCTCGGCTACGTTTATTTAAAGCCTATCCTCGGCTACATGATATGCACTAGCCTCTCCTCAGCTACATTTTAGCCTATCCTCGGTTACATGATTCAATAATCTGCCCTCGATTACATAATATGCAATAGTCCTTTTCAGGACTAACCTAATTTATTAGGACTACCAAGCTGCGATCCTGCGCGACATCATATGACAGAACACCACAGCACTGTCCGCGTCGATCCTCTCTCTCTGAAACAACATCCGGGATCGACTGGACCTAGAACATCGCTGGTTCCATTCGGCCTACCTCAAGCTGTCGCCTTTAGACCTGACAACACTCCTCAATCTACACGACCGAAACGATTATCTGTATATATTCGTTGCCAATTTATTTAATAAAATTTGCAAACTTGTCCTCGTTTTGTTGTCCTTGCTTCGATCGTATTATTTATATTATTTTTTCCGTTTGCAAATTTGTCAACCTGCTTAGCGCTGCAACAATCGGATGAAAAGTGAGTTATGGCTGAAAAACGGGCTTTTTTAACAGTTTTTCGGGTTTGTTTGTTTGTTTTTTTTTGTTATACGCGGGGAAGCGAGTTATTCTGAAACCACACTATCTTATTCCTTTCATGGTGGCAAATGTTTTCGACATTTTTACACAAAATCGGATAACAAATGAGGAAGTTATTCAAGTTTTTTTATTTTAAGTAAATCAAAAACTCGGTTTTTCACAGTTTTTGCAGATTTGTGCGTGAAGCCAAATGTCGTTAGAAAACTATATAAATTTCATAACATGAAGAGCTATGTTTTGTATTAAGTGCAAAGAACATCAGCTCATCCAGTAAAAAATTTGTTCGCATGTAACTTTGCATTGTTTTTTGCTAAAAAAGTCGTATCGACCTTCAGTTTTATTGATTTTTCTGGCAAACCTGTTGGAGTGGGGAACTGGAGATTAAAAAGTGATTCGTGAACATTTTCGTGAATTTGCAACAGGTGTGTACAATTTCATCGAAAACAGTCGAGAAATGTGGACGTGCATAAATAACTTATACACACACGGACACAGACACATAGATAGACATACACACAGACATCTTTTTTTATAGATATAGATTATCAACAATACTTTTTATTAGTAGTTGAAGTCATATAACTCCGTTCTAAATATTTAGATTTCGGTATTAAATAACCCATAAAAGCTGATATGTGGCTAAACAAAATCAACCAAACAACCAACTTGCAAGAACTCCTTCATGACATTATTCCATATAATATCCTACCATTTCTTAAATCAAACTGTATTCCAAAATATAACATCAACAAAACAATATAAAACACACATATCACTGTCTCTAGTAATAATGTCCACGCAAAGGTGTATGTAGAGAAAAGCCGAGTATCATTTACGTGATAGATGTGATATATACATGATAGATTCTACTACATTTAGATATAATATGTTTATTACTTCAAAGCTCCAAAGAAAATGAAAAATGTCAGCATTAAATGGCCTATAAGGAGTTGGTCTGAAGAAATAAATCAATCAAAATATATAAGATAACTACTTGGAGAGTGATTTTCATCGAGTACAGCTGATCGATCAGAAAAAAGCGTTCAATTAGAATGGAGCAAAAACAGCATCATGTTTAGATGTCACAAAGTTTATCTTCTTCAATTACTTTAAAGTATTTTCATTAAAAAAACATTTTGAATTAATGCATTTACTGATATAAAAGAAGTAGTCTATATTTATTCAATCGAATTTAACCGAGTAGATGAAGGGGTAAAACAGGCAAAATGAAGACCCACTTCAGACGACAATTATTTTGGAGTTTTTGAAATTCAGTTTGTTAGTCTACTAACAAGGATGTAGAAGAGGATACATTTATAAAGTAATTGTTAAGTTTTATAAAAATTGATTGAAAGATCAACGACAAATAAGAAAGAAACTAGTAAAAGTCTCCATTTTCTCAATTTACGCGGGTTTTCACTATATGGGTAGACTCAATTATCAAGTTAAATGACTATTAAACAATCAGCTTATTGTTGGCTACAATTTAGTAGAGTTTGGATTAGATTGCTTGAAAACTGAGGGAGTTTTTAGTTTAGAATTTATGTTGAAATCGAGTTATGTTGAAATCGATCTTTCGTTTTTCGCTAAACGCAGTGAATACGTTGTTAGTGGCGCGGCTCGGTTTAACGTCAGGTAAATCCTAAATGAAAATCCAAATCATCGACGCATAATAATTCACACTAATTCGACTGGACAGTTCCACTCAATAGTCAGTCAATATTCGCTCAATAATCACTGCAGTCACTAGGCTGACACCGTTATTTATACCCCTGGCGGAAAACAGTCCAGAGTGTCACGCTCGAACCTCGGTGTCGTTAGTTAGGCATTTTCTTTCTATATGAAACACTGCTCTGAGCCACATTTGATAATAAAAGTTATAAGGAACAGAAATTCTGGTGTTGTTAGACATTCAACACCATCACTTGATAAGATACCAAAAGTATTGAAACAAAATGATTATTTTTGTAGTGATTTTATAACATGTTTATGCTATAATAAATTATATTTGATCTATTCTGTATTGATCACACTTAGTATCTTTGGTTATTTGAATTTATTCCGTATACACCATCCTATTGTATATATATATATATATATATATATATATATATATATATACTTGGATATATATATATATATATATATATATATATATATATATATATCCTATATATATATATATATATATATATATGATAATGTAAATATCAATTTTTGATGTTGTTTCCAATGACTAAGAAGTTTTTGTGAATTATATATATATATATATATATATATATATATATATATATATATTTTATATATATATATATATATATTCGAATACAAGTTCAAGGGGGATTCTACGGTTGTTGAAGTTCCACTGCCGTCTAACGAGGCCACAAAAGGACAAACAAGTTTTGCCTCAGATGCTGCCGAAATTCTGACTATTGGCACAGTCTCTACACTTATGATGCTGTCTCTTCTTTTCAGTTCTAACTTGAGGAATTGCCAACTTTTGGTAGTAGCCAATTACATCTGTTTCTCTTCCCTGTACTATACATATTTGATGTAATGTTTGTAAGTTAACCTCAAATCATGTGACACTGGCAATATTGAAAACAACTTACTCTCGTGAACACTGCGAATAATGAGGCAGTCAGTGTGGGTGAATCACTGGAAAAGGCGTACATAGCGTTGAGAAACGAGAAGGAGTGTCTTACACAAGAAGAGTAGACACCTTATTCAATTAAGATCCACCATACCACATACACAGAGCCGAATCATCTTCATTTACTTTGTATTCCATTGGTGTGAAGGACGTTCCACCCAGAAACAGAAACAAGAACTGCTACTTTGTGGAAAAGACTCTCAAGAGGATGTTTCCTCTATCCGTTCAACTATTTTAACCTGTTGAAATTTAGATTCAAACTTTATCTATCCTACACATCCTCATCAGCTGAACTTACTTCTCCTCTCTTATGTCCATAAAACAACCTCATTCAATCAGGATCTACCTTGAGTGGCGCTTGGGCATTGTATGAATTAACATTTAGTAAAAAATTAAAATCTGTCATATAAAGCTTAACATTATCAGTTACTCTCTGCATATTTATGTGTGTGTTTTTTTTTTGTGTGACCAATTAACCCCCTTCGTGTGATGTACATAATGAAATGTATAAACTCCCGAGTTATATAAGATGTCTATTTACATAGTAATCTTAGTGAGATAATTTCTGACATACGCAAGGGGGACGATTCTAAAAGAAATGAAGAAAAATTGACAAAATGGAAGGGATTTTTTTTTCATGGTCAAATTCCCTAAACTCTCAGATAGCTTCTTAGCGATGTCTTTCTGTCTGTGTGTCTACACAGACACACACGCAGATACACACGCACATACAAACACACACATACATATGGAGGCACGGTGGAGTAATGGATAGCGGCTTGGATTGAAGAATCAGAGAGCCGAGTTCGAATTCCAGTCGAAACCATTACATTCACTTCCTTGGGAAAGATGTGAATCTGCTTCTTTTCCCTCCTTTCTAAATAGCAGGGCAAACTGGGTTCTATAGCCTTGGATGGCAAGTGGTCTAGGAGAAGGACAACTCTGAATTCAAACCCGGAGTGGAGCCCCTAATGCGGATGGACGGCACTTTGTGCTACCTTCTGGCAACTCCTGTAGCCGCGCTGGTAGCAAACTGTATTGGTTTATCCTCTCCTTTGGACTCTGCTAGCAAGGCTGAGAGGGGGGAACTAGACGCCCAGGCAGCCCTAGTTCTCCATATATCCCGCCCAGGTTTGTAGCCCACTGAGCGCTAATCCATCGTCTCCCGAGACGGACGGATGATGACGACGATATATATATATATATATATATATATATATACAATAATAATAATACTATAACAGTAATATCAACACATATGTATATGTATCTTTGTGGTCGGCTTTATTTCGTATCCAAGTATTAAATTTTTCTTTGTTGATCGCTTTTTATGATGATAATGACTATTTTATGATAATGACTCTATTCACCGTCAACGTGTATGTTATGGAGTTAAATCTTCCATTTTCGCCAGAGCCTGTTCCCGTCATCCATTCCCTATCGCCTTTTGGCTTTTCAAGAATTGGTTGGAGGAGAAAGAGAATCGGAGTAAAAGATAATATCGATTAAGTTGGATCTCAACTCCTCAGGATGTGACCCACACACTTGATTTCCTGACCTTCTTATGCGACACCTATCTAATGAAACATGGCGAATTCAATTATGAAACGGCAACGGACTGCAGCTGATTAGGTTTTAATTTCGAATGGTACCAATATTCAGAGTTTCATGCAACGAAACATTGCTTTTGCATGAAACTTTGAGTAGCGGTTATCGATGATGTTCTGTAATACTTATGGTAATCGGCTTTATCCAAAATTGCATATATGTTGGCTTTGACGGCCCGTTTGTTGACAACGTTACAATCGTTTTTTGTTTTTTTTTACTGCTATTTCAGTGATTTTTAGATTTGTTGTTAGGATATTATTATATCTGTTGCGTGGAGAAGAGTTTTTTAAGCCTTCGGCCTTGAGGAGGTCTCTCAAGTCTGAGTAAACTGCTATATCTCCACGCGTAGAAAACATGATATTTAAACAGGTCACTAAATCCAAAATATATGTCCATTACGTAGACGATACTTTTATTTTAGGGAATAACACACAAGAAATAGATAATCTCACATTTGAAAAAAAAAATCTTTCCTTAAAATTTACCTAAGAACCAAGTCACCCCCCCCAAAAAAAAACACCCATTCTTAGACGTTCT